GTATGGGTCGTCCATTGGAGAAATTAGCGGTAAGATTTGCCATTGATTTTTGATTATAGTTTGATTGTGAATGATGCACGTTCCAATGTAGTTGATAGTCAGTCAGTCAGTTAGCCACAACCTCAGGACGTCATACATACGTCGTACTGTAGTAAAGGAGAACACAGGTGAGGGCAACTGAATTGTATTTATCACAAATTACAGAGTTACCCAGTAAAATAGGAAAACCATATCGTAAACGGTTAATTTGCAAATCTTCAATCAATCATCAATCCATCGTCTGAGAGTTCACTTATTCATGCGTTTCATACAAATTCCATTGTGTTCCCACTCTTCCTTTGTTGATCTTGCTTCGTCTTCTGCTGCCAGGCATTACGTTGACACTCACGTCATATACTACTTATAAGTAGCGCGCATCACAGTACATCTGTTCAAGGTGTCAATTCAAATCCCCATAGTGGTAGAGGTAGTAGAAATATTAGCAGTAATCGGAGAGATTAGGGTTTCGAAGGTAGATTTGAGAAGAGAACGATGAAGGTGACGGGAAATTCAGATGATTAAAATGTGGGAGAAGACAAAGAATGGTTGCACCTGCGCCATTTCTAAAAATTTTGACCCATATCATTCAAAGTTTATAACTATCGGTTACCATTGTCTCGCGGACCCGAAGCAGTTAGTCTACACTACACAAACATGGTTCGGTTCAGGTGTCACTGACTTCATGGGTTTGTAATATGTTTTAATTTGGTTGTGGCCCTAGGTTTCTTACATAATAAAATATCGCTCGTCGAAATGTAATTCTTACATTTGTATTGGTTGGTGTGAATCTTTCAATTGACCAGTAAGGATTACAATTGATCCGTCTTTTCGGCTTATATATTCACCGTGTACAAATCGCCTCAATATTAGGTTAAAAATATTATCAGCAGTGTCGGAGTAAGTATCAGTTTTTGAGATGTAGCTACGTTTAGCTGACGACTGTGAAATAGAGACACTTCACGCACGTGCTGAATCGGTCAGTCTGATGCAACGTAGAACTTCGTACGTAAGTACATCAGTTCATGTCACCATACCACATTAGCACACAGAGATGTCAATGTCAATTCAAATCCCATAATAGTAGAAGAGGTAGTAAAGGTATTGGTGTAATCGGAGAGGTTAGAATTAGAAGATATTATTCAAGAAGTATAATTCAGTGAGGTGTTGTAGAATCCAGGAGATTAGTATTTGAGACACGTGCTGAATGGATTCCACTGCTTTTCGCTATTCATCTCCTACTGTGAAATGAGTCCCATGAATAATAGCTAGTTCTCATGGATATATATTCAAAGTTCCCATAACTACATTCTCGAATTCATTCTGTCCAGGACCTTTTACCCTAGTTCTGTCCATTTATTGTTCATTCTTATTCATGCCCGTCTCCGTTTCTTGGCGTAATGTGTATTTTGATCTCCTTCCTCTTCTTTGGCTTTGAGGATTCCAAGTGAAGACTTGTCATCTGATGCAGTTCGGTGCTTCTCTCAAAATGTGTCCTATCCGCTTGCAGCGCTTCTTCCTAATATCTCCCTCTGCTCGAAGCTGATTTGTTCTCTCCCACAGTAGGTTGTTGCTGATAGTGTCTGGCCAATGAATACGAAGTTGTATTTTCTGGATGATGGCTTTTGTGGTTTGCCAGGTTTCTACCCTATATTATAAAAAACTGTATTTGTACTGAAAATTCTGACTTTGATGTTGATTGATAGTTGTTTTGATTTGCGGATGTTCTTCAATTGTTTGAAATGCTGTCGTTGCTTTGCCAATCTGTGCCTTCACATGTACTTAAGATGTATCTTGATGCTGTCCAGATAAGTAAAGGTTTTTGCATCTTCCAAAACCTCTCTTTGAAGTGTGACTTGGTTGGTGCATGTTGTATTGTATCGGCGAATCTTGCTTTTCCGTTTGTGAATGTTGAGACCTATTGCTGCTAAGGCTGTTTCTACTCTGGTCGTCTTCTCTTGCATTTGTTATTGGGTGTACAATAGAAAAGTCATATCATCTGCAAATTCTAGACTATCCAGCTGCATCTTGGCTGTCCACTCTATCTCGTACTTCCCCCTTCACATACTGACATCTTCATAATCCAGTCGATCAACAGAAGAAAGAGAAATAGTGATCGTTAACAACCTTGCCTGACATTAGTTTTCACTAGTCAACTATCCTCCGTTGCATGATTCCGAAGTTTAATCCATCATAAGAATTCCTTATGATATTGACTATCTATAGGCAACACTAGACAACTAACTTTTCTGCCTTATCAAAGAAACCGGTATTAGGAACCCGAATGTGAGTGAGACTATCTCCGAAAAGGATGGTCTTATTATCCATTCTCAATCTAGGAGGCTGGGCCGATGGGCAGAACAATTTAGGGATCAGTTCAACTGGCCTCGAGCCACACTTCGGTTGCCCACGATCACCAGTCATCCTGAATGGCAAATCGATTTATGTCCTCCCTAGGACCTAGGTAGAATCTGGGAACTGGACGTAATCCCATCTGACTGGTCTCAGTCTCTAATTGTCCCAATCTACAAGAGAGGACAGAAGTCCTCTTGTGACAATCTCAGGGGAATAAGTTTAACTTATATAGTTTCTAAATTGTTAGCCTCCATTATACTGAGACGTCTAACTAGAGCTCGTGAAGAGCAGACTCGAGAAAACCAGTCTGGTTTTCGACCTGGACATGGCTGTATAGACCACATCTTCACACTACGACAGTTCCTGGAACATAGACACACATTTAGGCATCCTACAACAGTTGTTTTCCTGGACCTTAAGGCGGCATTTGACTCCGTAGATCGTGAGGTTCTGTGGCAGTGTCTGTCATTGAAAGGTGTACCAAAGAAGTACATTAACCTTATACAAGCTCTCTACTCGAACACCGCTGGTCGAGTGAGAGCCTATGACGAACTGTCATCTGAATTCTCTACATCAAGTGGTGTCTGTCAGGGATGTCCACTTTCCCCATTCTTGTTTAACTTTGTCGTTGATATGCTTTTAGAGTTAACATTAAGCTCGTCAGATTTTTCAGGAGTTGACCTTCTACCAGGAAAATCGCTTACTGATCTAGAATATGCCGATGACATAGTCCTACTTGGTGAAGACGCTGACAAAATGCAGAGTCTTCTGACTACCATAAGCAACAATGCGAGCATGTTCGAGATGCGGTTTTCCCCCTCGAAATGCAAAATGTTGCTTCAAGACTGGGTTGCATCGGCACCTGAACTAGTGATAGGGAGTGAAGTAGTCGAACGTGTAGACCGCTTCACTTATGTGAGGAGTCTCATCAGTGCTGATGGCCTGGTGACTGACGAAATCTCAGCTCAGATACAGAAGGCTCGATTGGCTTTTGCCAACCTGCGTCACTTATGGCGTAGGCGTGATATCCGTTCGCTTACCAAAGGGCGGGTGTACTACGCAGCAGTTCGTTCCGTTCTCTTATATGGCTGCGAAACATGGCCGTTTAGAGTAAAATATGTTCGTAGGTTACTAGTATTCAGTCATCGATGTTTAAGAAGCATTGCTCGTATATCGTGGGACACCCGGTTAAGCAATGCTGTCGTTAGGAAACGAGTACTAGGTAACGATGGCAGATCAATCGACGAAGTGGTGAAACTTCATCAGTTGAGGTGGTTGGGACATGTGTTACGTATGCCTAACCACCGACTGCCCCGACGGCCTATGTTTTGGGGTATAGGAGTAGGTTGGAAGAAAGTTAGGGGCGAGCAGACCAAAACCTGGCACAAATCCATGAAGTCACTGACAAGTGGACTGAGTCATGTTGGTAGATGTAGGCTATCTGGTTGATGTCTGCAAGACGAAAGTCACCGACGGTTAGAGACCTTGAACGACATTGCTCAGAATCGTTTGCAATGACTCAAGAACATCCATTCTTTGAGCTCTCTCAAATCTTTATCTGCTAGATTCGTCATCAGCTCTATCTTTCCCTCTCTTACCTTATCTCACTGAATTATACTTCTTGAATAATATCTTCAAACCCTAGTCTTCTTCATTACCATTAATACCTCTACTATCTTTATCAGTATGGGATTTGGTTTGACATTTGCGTCTCTGTGCTGTGTGTGGTATGGCAACATGAACTACTGTACATACGTACGTAGTTCTACGTTGCAACTGACTGACTATCTATCTATCTATCGTAGACAGTTGTTTATAAAGTGCCTGTACCTGTTGAATGATGTTGGCTTTTTTTTATAGTTAGTTGTCCAAATTTCCACTTGATACCAATTGATTTGTAATTTGATGACAAACCTTACTTGATTCATCACTGAACTCATGAATCGATTAGAAACCTAGTCCCCAGGTATAGGGCCATTATCAGTAGTGTACATCCATGACTCTCGTGGTGGTGGTGTTTGGTTCGCTGAGCTGGATGTTGTTTTGGTTGTGAAGCTTTCATTGTTCTTCTACTTCT